TGATATATATATATATATATACATTCGAAAATAATTAAAATATATTTTTTTAATTTTTTTAGAATAAATTCTTTTAGATTTTAACTTATATTAAATAATTTCTATGGATATATTTATTTTTCTGAGAAAAAGGATTGAAAATAGTCCTCGTGCGGATCAGAATAGGCAATACATTCATGATCACGCACGTATAAATTGAAAGTTTATTAACTATGCAATTATTATTAAATTCTGTTATTTATTCTATAATAATATTCATGTTTACAAAAATTGCTAAAAATAAAAGAAATTACTATATTTTTGTCGGAAATATTTTTTAATATATTTTTTAAATATATTTTTTAATATATGATATAATGGCGCTAAAGTAAGATGAAAATAAAAATATGATTTCATTGTAAAGTTCTTCTTTTTATCAAAGAAATATGTTCTTTGAATTCAATAGAATATAAATCCAATAAATGAAAAGTATGAATATAGAAGATATATCTGAAAATGTTGAGGGATCGGGAACTGAGTCTTTAGAGGATTAAGAGGCATTATGGCTGAATAATTTCTATCGATATCGCTGGGATAGCAAGTATTCTTTCAATAATCTTCCAACAAAGATAGGAAATAATTAAAACAAATAATAATAGATTATATATATATAAAATATATATAGACAGTTTATACTGATAATAGTTGTCGTTTTTATTAACATAAACACAAGAGATTACAGTTGTCTTTCACTGAAGCTCCACGTTTCCAGAACTCTGAATATTTTTTAAAAAGTTTCGATCTTTGAAGCTTCCGGTTTTCGGAACATCGGAATACTCAATCTGTAATTATATACATATCTCGGCGATATTTCTCATATGCAGATATTGATCGTCGCGAGACTGTGTTTACATTATCGTCGCGATACGTGATGAAATATAATAACGACTTATTAGAAGGACACCATTCTCCACGTGTCACGAATTTGCTCATTTTCTTCCCCCTACATTCCTCGTGTGTTTCCTAGACCACTGGTAGTCAGTTGCGTCCTAGCTCGAATACGGTTCACAAGCAACGACAGTCTTCTCTGCTCCCGTTAATTTTTGCCAGCGTAAACGAACTCAATATTACAATATTATTATTTCAATGTTCAGTGATCCAATTTTTCTAGAATTAACTGAAATAAAAAATTCTTTTCATTACGAATAAAAATTTTTTATATTTGCAGATGATTTATTGTTTATTTTTGAAGAGAATTTTTTTATTAACTTTTTTAATATGTTGTTAATAGTAGTTATATGTAATAATGTTTTGTATGATTTTAAAATTTATTTTCATTGAATTTATTTATCTTCCAGTGACGGAAATGCAAAATGCCTTCAATCGATACCCGATCGATAAGAGTGCCTGGAGAAATGGATCGGTGTCCATCTCATAGACGAGACGCTACGTCGAGACATGCTGGATGCCGATCTACGCTGGATGTGTCCAGCACATTGGAGTCGTCCCCCACAGTCGCTTGCCACAGTTTTGCAACATGCTGCGACGTATTTAATGCTTCTAATGACGCCCTGTTCAAAAAGGATCACGTCACAACGTTAGAAAACGAGCCCAATAGTGTGGTTTATCTGTCACAGGACATTTCATTATCTCACAATGCCCGTTCAACTGATCTGTGCTTTGCGCAAAAAGAATTTGCTTGTCCCGCTGTCCCTTGTAATCATGGATGTGATACAAGTGTAATGAATCACCGAAATCGTCATAGTTCTACGCGAAAGAGGGACGCGATGAGATATTTTCATACAGCGGATGCACTCTCGATAACGAGATACTTTCTCGTATTCATCAATCAAATGTTAGGATTAATAACCACCGATTGGATAACGAATTCTTCATGGAGGAGATGGCGAACTTATTTTCTTTTCTTAATTTGCCTATTTTGTGTGACGCAATGTTCAGCCCGCACTTGCTCAGTTGGATTAAGCACACCGGGATGTAAGTTTCTTCCAAATATATCTTTGCATAAATACAATCAAATAAATACAATCAAATATACTCGTAAAACACATTGTATTCTCAAATTTGATATTAGCGATTAGCGAATTAGCTATTTAAACTGATATTTAAATTGACGTGTTTTTATTTTCACCATTATATATCTATACTGCTTAGGCTGCATTTTATTTGCTGCTCATAAGCGCTGTGAGCGTCAAATGGAGCGCACTCGTGATGCACATTTCGAGACATATGTATATTCGAATGTACGTGTTTATAAAGCAGAAATAAAAGCCGTTGTCTTCTATTTCTTTCGCATACGTACCACTGTGCGCTAGAATTATAAATAAAACATATGTCTTATCTCTCCTTTTGGAATTCTGTCGAGCTAAATGTATATATCTATATTTAATACTCGAGCTGTACAGTTCACATCGAAATTATTAACCCTGTTGAAGTGTATTCTCATGATATCTTGATTTTACTTTTTATAATGTTTATGACGTAAACTTGTATAGCATATATAAATTTTGATTTAATTATTTTATTTACTTATAAAGAGTTTGCTTATATTCTCATTATAATCTATGAATTTTTATAATTGGAGTATCTTGTATTCTCTATCTCAAATAATAAGACTATCATCTTATTATTCTTCTTAATTCTATTTGTAGGGACCTGGCCACAAGGTGATATTGTTATTGAACATGGTAAACCACTCCAAATGTTCTGTCTGTTAAATCAGACGATCATGGAACTTGACTATCCTAAAAAAGATGCGGAAGATCTTCGATTCTTTCGTAACGATCAAGAACTGGAGTCGGAATTCGTCACGGTAATTAATGAAACTACGATAGAGCTGTCCATCAAAACACCACCGCCCTCCGACGACATGTACAATTGCAAGTTGCGAATGAAAGACAACGACTATATAGCAGTTTGTCTCAATAAAGTTGTAGTTGGATGTAAGTAATCATACTTATTTTAATTATCTATGTATATTCCATTAGATTAGTGAGTCTTCAGATCGGCTTATGGTAGAACTATTAAGAAAGAGACGGCTTCTCGTGAAAAAATAAGTTAAAATAAACAGAATAAAATTTTCCCATACAAGATCTCATGAAATAAATTTTATTCTAAATTTTCGTCTTATTTTTTGTTAACTCTTCAGTTGTACTATCAGTTTTGAGATATCTGATGTATGTGCTATTCTATTAAAGAAGATACTTTTTGTAATCTGAAGAATTTGGGTATCGAGAAACATATACATCTTATTTTTTATAATCGTCACACGTATTTGAAATATAGCTATCTACATATCCAATAGAAATATACATTTATCCTTATCAGTATGACCCGACGATGTTTTGCGGAGACAGTACAGTGCATTGATTCTCTTTTTATTAGTTATGAGTAAATCGTTTGACATGCATGCGTCTTAGAAATCGTTTTATCAGCGACAATAAAGATAACTAGAAAACAGATACTATACAATATAATATTAAGAGTTAGTCAAGTCACTTCTTCTCTCGTAGAAATTTACTCATTGGAAGAATTAATATTTAAGTTAAATTTTTACAGTAAATTATATATTTATGTGTAATATATTTATACTATATTTATATCAATTTAATAGATTTTAATTTTAATATAATACATACAAAATGTCTGCAATGTCTTAAAAATAATAGAAATTGAAATTTTGTACCGATGGAAACTAATAGGATTGATCGTGATATATGTTTACAAACACAATTTCTGATATATTTATCAACTATTTAGCGAATGTCAACAACTATATTTGAAAATTAATTATGTATTTTAAAAACCAATATGTTTCTTTCTTATATGAAATGTTTTATTTTATTTTACTTGTTTTGTTTCACAACAGATCCACCTCAAAAACCCAAACATTTTGACTGCGTCTCCTATAATTGGGAAAGCTTTAATTGCACATGGGAGCCAGAACACAATTTCGTCAATACAAAGTACGATTTAATGTTTCAACTACCTGGAAGGTTAGGGGCAATGTATTATTGTCCGCTTGCGACGACGGCACGGAATTCATGCACGTGGGATATATATTCCGATCCAATATATAGGCAACCATATGCATTTTATATTTTCATACTGAAAGTATCTAATCCTTTTGGAGAACTCAACTTTACATATCGTGTCCAGCATTATTCTAATGGTATGTAAATCTTATATATGAATTATTATTTATTTCCTCGTAAAAATCTCTTGCAATAAAAAATGTACAGTTATCGAATGCGCTGTATACTTAATATTAAAGAATATTATTGTTTTCAGTTATTCCGGCTAAACCTTACAACCTTACCTTAATAAACAAAACATCGGAGAGTGCACTGTTGCATTGGGAACTTCCCTTCCCGATGGCGACATTTCCAGTTGGTGTTCATCACAAAATTATGTATCAACATCAATGGGATCATGAAAAAGATTGGAAGGTATAATCGTATTGATTCAAGTAATTTTTTATTTTATTAGATAATTTGTCGATATCGCAATTGAAAGAGTTATCAATTCTGTGATAAATAAAATAACAATCTTGATCGAACTTATTTTCCCTATAGGTTATCAATATTACGCATCCTAAGAATAAAGAACAATGGCTTTACAATCTTACCGGATTAGAGTACGCTAACACAGTATATGATGTTCGCATTTATTTAAAAAGCTCAACAGCTGTAAGACCAGATCGATGGAGTGAATTTAGTGTTGTTACATTTAGAACATCATCAAAATGTAAGAGTAAATTTCTGAATTATGAAGAAAATCTGTTGTCTTTATGCTTATTTTTTATTATTTATTTGATTATAACTATAATTGATATAATTACATATTGCAAATTTGGCTGTGACTAATTACCATTACATGGTAACAGATAATTTCTATCTATTTCTATTAAATTTTCTGATTTAATCTTAGTGCCGAGCGCTGCACCGCGAACTGACATCGGTAGCTTCGAAATTGCTGAAAATAATGGAAACAGGGACGTATACTTGTACTGGCAAGCGATACCGCAGAATCAAGAAAACGGCGATAATTTTAAGTATCAAATCATTCACGTGGAGGAAAATGGTCAGAAAGTTGCGCTTACGCCAAGTGAAACGACTAGGACATATGCCAAATTGAAGGGAATCACCCTCAACAGTTACCTGTTCGAGATCATCTCAACAAACGAGGTCGGAGCTAACAACAGCCGTGCAAGAATATACGTACCAAATCAGAAAGAAAGTAAGTATATTAAGAAGTTAGATATCAAGGGAAGACAGAAAGATTCAAGTACACCTAACAATTTGATACATTTGCTTAGTTCCACATGAACCAATAGCGTTTACGAAAATCGCTTTCGAGAATGGATTATATGAATTATCTTGGAAACCACCGTTCGAAGATCATAACATTAAGAATTACACGATCTTTTGGTGCGACAACGAGCGTGATCGTCCTTATCAGTGTACCGTATGTACTAATACTCTTTCTTTCGTATTATTTGAAAAATATTTTTCGAATATTTCTCACATAATAAATAAAAGTATATTTCACATAAAAATTTAGACATGCAGCGTTAAATGATATGTTTGCAGGGTTATTTGGACTGGGTGCATGTTCCTAAAAATACTATGATCTACAATATAACTGTACCGAATCCGTCCAAGGTATACCAATTTGCAATCTCCGTCAATACTGAGAGAGGTAGCAGCGGCATGATATGGTCGTCGTGCACGGTAATTCATAACAAGGTACTCGGCAAAATGAAGTCTGTTTGGATTAATCGCATTGGATCGCACTTTATCGAAGTCGGTTGGAAGCTTGATTGTTCGGATCGCATCGGGATAATTGAAGGATTCAACATCTACTACTGTCCCATAGTATCACCAATGAATGTCAACTGTAATGGTCCTATGTTTAATAGTACTATCAAAGCGGACGCACATACGATACATGGCGTTGTCGATAATCTGAAGCCCTACACTACGTATATGCTGAGTGTCGCGGTGTTGACGAAGAGTGGTGAGGGTCTGCGTAGTGATCCCCTGTATAATACCACTCTCGAAGCTGCACCCAGCACACCACCGTCAAATGTTAGAATCACTGACTTGTCTAACACGACGATGTTTGTCGCATGGAAAAAGCCGTCGGCGATGAACGGTGTACTCAGATATTATGAAGTTTACTACAATGGTCAAGTCATTAGAGTGGATGATAAAGATCACATTAAACTGACCGGTTTGAAGCCGTATACGAAATATTTTATTAGAGTCTCCGCTTGTACCGTCCAGTGCAGTGAAAAATCAACGATGATATATGAATCCACGAAGATCGGCGTGCCTGGCAAAATTAATATTCCTTTGGTACGCTTTGTAAACTCCAGCCAAGTAATCATTCAGTGGGAGCCACCGCAAGAACCAGCCGGTCCACTAGAGCACATGTATTACGAAATAGAATACGGAAATGGCATGATCCTGAATGTCACGAGAACAGGTGAGACTGTCTTTAATAGGAAAATTGAATTTCTTTTCTTAATAGAATTTGAGAGAATTTCTGACAAACTTTAATTAAACTATGATAAGAGAAATATTCTTTTGAAATATAATTCAATTTTCTTGAATTATTATATTTTTCTATTCTATTAATTTTCATTTGAATGATATAGTGATAAATGTAAAGTAGTGATAATTGTGTGAAATGAGAAGTGAAAAGAGGGAGAGTAGAAAAACGAAGATTAGTGAAGGAATAATACGAAAGCTTAATTTTAATACTATTTGTTCATATTGCAGAAGTGCAATTGCCCATTCCCGACTGCAAGAACGTCGAGCATCGAGAGCAAAAGCACAAGTTCCGGGTTAGGGCTGTTAACACCAATCTTAACGGCGACCTTTTGAAAGGATCCTGGTCTGACTTTGGGGAGGGAAATTGTTATAATAATGGTATTGTTATTTATTATTATTATTATTAAAGCAAGCAAACACGAAACAAATTACGGCTAATTCTATTTTAAATGGACACGTTTGCTTTCTTATAAAATTAAGCACACTTATTATTACGATTTACATATACACATACATGGCGTGCTAATATTTGTGAGTATAAACGACATTTAGATGTTGAAAATATTTAATGTTGAACTTTTAATATCTTTTTATAATGAGAAAAGTGATAATGATGACTATAGTTTTTTTTTAGATATAAATCACATAACTGGTTTATACAACTCACAAGATCAAGCCAGGCTCTTTCTTCATCTGTTTCTTATTGTTTCAGAACAGATATTTCCTACAATCTTCAATATTAATTTTCACTATTAATTTTTTTCTATTGTGTGATTTTCTTCACTTTGATCCGACAGATGCGATAGTATCACACATACACGTTTGACGCGGATATTATTAAGCAACTCATTCTGATTAGCGAATGTATATTTCTCATGCAACAGGTTTATCGTCCGTCGCACTGGTTGTTATATGGATAGTTGGCGTCGTTAGCTTCGCAGCATGTATCGTGTGCTTCGTGTACATGTTTAAGAGGTAAAGACACTTGTATTTTTCAGCCATTCTCTATGCAAATATAATAATTCATTTACGTAAAACTTTCCACAAAAAAAGAATTTTCATTTAATTATAACTACTTTTAGTTCTATTTTTCAACACGCTTTGTGCTATTTTTCTTACAGAATGTGGATAAAATGTCGAGCGATGCGAGATGTCGAAGTAAAACTACCGCCTGGACTTGCTAATCCAGATACGGTGAGATACCTCTATTCCATGTATTTTTTTCACATTTTGCGATTATTTATTGAAGCAAATATACAAAACTACAAAAATACAGTACGCTAATATAAGCTCTATTTTATTTGCACAGCAACCGCTTAAGAAGAGCGAACAACCACACATACGACAACCGTCCGCCGATTCGAGCGGTTGTTCGAGCGGCCAAGAGTCTGTTACGTCATCACTCACGGCGGAATCCCAGGTTTGCAGTGATAGTGGCACTGAGGTGGATGCAATGCATACACCGTCCGATAAACTGAAGAGTCAACCTGTCCGCGAATTGACACATCTGCGACAAAGAAGTACTACACGTGTACCAGCCTCGTTATTATCAGACGTCACGCCCTGCTGGGAATCATATGTCAAAGTTGGCAATTCCGGTGAGCCGACTTCTGAAGAGACTATATCGTTAGCGCGGTCCACGCCTAATTTAACAGATAACACAATGTCAAAGAGTTACTCGCCATCGCAACACGCCTGGTCTAGTGCAAACTATATCAGCATGCCGTCCTCTTCAGAGATGTTATTGAGCAATCCGAGCCTTATACCACGGAAGAACGCTAACAGCGACGATGGCGACAGCAGCAAAGACAGTGACGACAACAATGATGGTAACCATGGCAGCGATAGCAACAATGATAGCGGCGACGACAGTGGTGATGCTTTGATATCGATCAAATTTGAAGATGAATTCGAAAAGGAGAAGCAGAAACAAACTATCGACGAACTGGACAAAATGCGGTCGATCATCGAGTTGAACAAGAAGCTTATGGCATCTCACATTAATCCCGAGAAGACGACGATGGCGACGCCATATGTTCAAGCAGGTCTAATAGACGAAATACCCGAATCGCCTTCTAGTATACCTAAACATATACAAGCCAGGAACAGCAATCTGATGTGTGGCACCTTCAAAGTTAAAGATAATCAGAATTTGTGCAAGAAAGAGTATATGTCATTTCCGCCGACCTTCCCCGCCAGTACCGGCTTGACTTTAGCGAGTCCAAAATATATCTTTGCATCGATAATTCCTGAGGGGATGACGATGCCGGTTATAGAAGCGGATCAAGAATCTTTACAGCAGAAAACGTTCCACGATCCGCACAGTTCTACAACGAGCGGAACTTCGTACAATCTTACGAGCTCCGCGCACGAAACACAGCCGCAGGAGCAACAAGAGAAAGCGGAGCCACTCGCGAATATGACGGAGGACGTCGATGAGGGTGACAGCAAGGACAACACTGTGCACCCCTCTCCGTCCTGGCCGACGACAGAGGGAAAAGACTTGAACTCTAGTTATATCACTATCGCGAATTTGTCACCTCCCTCAGCAGGACCGTCGTATGTGCGACTCGAGAAGATGCCACTGCCGCAGGCAGCGACAAGTCAATCGGACGAACAGTACACAGAGGTGACGGTTGTGCCAAGTACAGTTCAGTGAGGTGAGGAGAGAGATGCACCATCATCTCGTTTTTCTCTTTTTCGCGATGGTGTTCATTGCCACCTTCGTAGACGGACAAAGTAAGTGCTACACTGTAAGATCGTGGTATATACAGCGGTACATGCAAGAAACTGAGATGTTATACGTTTGAATGTAATTGCGACACTCACACGCGAATCGACTGAGCTGAGCAGCGACCTTTTACAATCTGGGGGGAGGGGGGGAATGAGTTCGCTTATTAAAATACGAAGAGATTTAAGATACTTTCCTCATGAAAGGGAATGTTTCATATTTGCTTCGAAAATAAGACTGGGTCTGAGCAAAAAGGAAGATCATTGGCTTGAGGTTAAATAAATCGTTGGAACTTTACTTCTTATTAAAAGAGTTTTTCAATGAGTTCTTACGTTTAAAGACGCTTCCTTAAATGGCTATTACTGAGAAAAAGTTTTATGCGTATAGCATCTGTACAAAAAATAATAGAATATACAGGAAGCGATTCGCAGAGTCTTTAAGGAGATTTCTTAAAGATTCGTTTTTTATTCCTCCGCCCAAGCTAATGTCTTCTTGTTTGATTATGCTATATCCGGCGCGATATGCATACGTATGCGGCACGATACGTTCGAGCGACGAGAATGTCAGATTAGTGTTCTCGTTCACCAAAGTATGTACCAGTACTGCGTTACTTTTTTTATATTATATGCGTAATTTCGACGCGATTAGTTAAAATAAGTTAAAATAAGTAAATAGATTATACAAATATGTTATATATATATATATATGTATAATGGGCATATTATATGTATACATATATATCCAGATTGACGGACAGCCTATTGCTGTCGAAAAATAATTAAATTAAGTCCACTTCAGACGATCTATGATACAGAATCAGGCGCAATGTACAAAGGGAATAGGGTTTCCCCCCTCCAAAGAATCCGATACTTCAGGAAATTCGCACTTTCATTTTGCGCGTTTGTTTAACAAATTAATGATATTTTCGAATGATTTATGATCGTGCGCTATACGTTTTGTCACAATCATTACAAAGTTCCAAGAAAAGTACGTTATTCTTCCTTCTTTTGCGGAAAAGCAAATATATGTACAGCATGAAAGAGTGGTAAATGAAATTTTTGTACAAAGTGATTATTTCTTGGAATTTCCAATGGTGTCTCTCAATAAATATAATTCAATTTAGTAACTGAATTATAACTATTGAGAGTTTAATCGACATTTTTTTTAAATGTAAAGTAAAATTTAATATATAATCTAATTTTTTCCCGGAAATTGTAGAGTATAAGTAGAATTTAAACACACAGATGAAATGTTTCAAGATATTATACACCTTATACAATTTTCCTCCTCTACGCTCCTGGATCCGTCAAAATTAAATATAGCCTTATATATATAATGTAATATAAAAAGATTGAAGAATCACAATGTACATACTAAGAAAAAGATAAAAAAAATATGAACATGCCTAGATACATTGAAATATACGGTAAAGAAATTATATATGAAACGCGCCAGATTTTTACTCTACATTATAGATCGTCTATAGCTGGTTTTAGTTAGGCATTTTTTCACAGCACAATTTTTCGCTAAATTCTCGTTTAATTGTGAGAAAAATTTTTTTGTCATTTTTGCAAGGATAAGCAAACTTTTTTAGAACTACATTTTCTAGATTTCTTTATTAATGACACAGAGATATCCTAATTTAATCCTTAGTTAATCGCTTGATTCAGCTGATGCAACGTAGACTCTATGAATTCACATTTTTTACTATATTACTGAATTAGAAATTAATTAAATTAGAGAGATTTAAAATGACGCTACTCTGGTATAATACCAAGTAATAGAAAAGAAAAAAAGAGAAAAAAATAAAATATATCATAAACGTACAATTTTTAATTCACGCAGCACACGATTAATTAAGGATTATCGTCGTCTCAGAATGACAATTCTTGAATGCGCTATTGCGTTTATATCGTGTGGAAAGCAAGTGCATACAGATATTCTTCCGAACGATTCTCTCGACGATTCTATCATCGAAAAATCCGCGAAAACGCGATCGCAAACATTTCTATTCACCTGTGCGCGAAGATTGCTCAAAGAGAGACGAAAATAATATTACTTGAGACGAAATTGCTGCATACAGTTAGGACAACGAGAAGACGCAAGTTGCGTAGATTTCCTATTTTTCTAATCGTGTTTGTATCACGAATCCGTCGAAACTTCTTTTTAGCTGCACTTGCGCATTTGCGAAAATTGAGCCTTGCAATGCAATTTGTTATTCGTTCACGTAGTTTATTCGATACTTAATTATCACACATATCGATCGCGAATAAAATTGTACGTAGCAAGGTAATGGGCTCTTTTATAATAGCATTACAGTACAATATACAGTAACCGCACACGAGGACAGGGTCAGGGATAATAAAGTAAGATGAGATAAAAAAAACATGGTGAGCGCACCATGGGTGTCGCCAAACAGCTGGCGAGGAAAAAAACAGTTCTGAAGTCTCGAACTAGGATGGAAAATTGACTGTGTCATTAACGTATCATGAGGCCTGTTAATATTGTTATGTAAGTTATAGTGAACGTTGTATCGCACCCATTCATATCTTCGATTGTAAAACAAAGTAATCGGGAGAAAAGGCGCTTTTTTTCGCACTTCAATGCCACGTTTTCCAATGATGAGATCTTGCTCGGCTACGAGAAATCCGTGTGGAGGTGCCCATGCGTCACAATTATCCCGGATCGTGCGCTTTAATTACGTGTAGGTCAGAAGACAATTAAAGTACTCTTGCAGTATAGAGTTAATTGTGAGTAATGCGCAAGTGACAATTGGCCTCGCAGAACATTCTCACGCTATCACAGCAGCAAGAATATATGTATGCATAATATGCACGTACTTTAAACTAGTCAGATACACCGCCTTCTTCCTACAGGCCTTTCTTTTATATTTTATCGTAATGTTCATCGGATATGTGATTATTGTACAAAATTTAATAAGTAAAAAAAGAACTAACGTATTGGTAAATCGTTAGTTTTTTTTTCTTATTTTTCTTGTACTATTTAAAAAAAAAAAAGATTGAACTTTTAATGAGTAGATAGGATATTTCTTTTGATTCGAACTTTTTATGATAACGTTTTATTAATATCTTCGTTGGATACAAAACGATTGTTACAAAAAAGCAACTTAAAAAGAAAGAGCTTTATTGAAGAATCGATGGCCTATTGTTGACACAAAGTATGATTGTGAAGGATTAATTGTGTGATTCTGAACTACAAATTTTAAGAGATAAAAATATAGATGCAACTGTAGATTTAATTAAGAGCTAAATAATTCAATTATCACTGAAATTACATCAGTAAGGTAGCTATTTAAGAAAAATTGTAATATTTCGAATTGTAATACAAAAAGAAAGGCCTGAATTTTTATGGAACGCGGTTATTTTGCAAGTTCAAACAATTTCAAGCGAGGAAAAGGAAAATCTATTGTTATATATAAGAGAAATTAGAAATGTGAGATATAAGAAAAAAGGAAAATGATTTTGTTTGTACTTGCGAAATGATACTTACCGGCTTGCGCGATTGGACATTCGCGAAGCTCTCAGATCGAAAACGAGCTTATGTACCTACTCGTACGTTTATTGTTGTTACAATACATACCGATGTAATTTTATCAGATATAAAAAAGTGCTACTTAGTCTATAATTAAGTCTGTATAAACTTAAGGATTATGTCATCACGATGTTATGCAAACGCACGGTGCGTAGATCTGTTTGTTTTAGCTGCACTTATAGTTTCCGCATTCGAAATGAAATAGTTATAAATATATTTATACATAAATCATATATATAAATTTTCCAAAAGATGTCTCCTATAAAAAAAGCTGCAGAATTTGTTAAAAAAAAAGAAAAAATTTATTATTGTTGCTTTTTTATAGAGTATCTTTTTGGAGGGCATTTCGAGATCAATTTAATATCTGTAAGTAAAAATTATGAGATCGATTTAACCTTTTTAAGTAAAAATTTATATATTTTTTTACTGATGTGAATGCTACATTTTAAATCAGCAATTTTGATTCAAGATAATTTCGGATTCGATAAATATTTTAAAGGGTATTTGTGAAAAATTATTACAAATTCTTCACTAATCAATGTATCAATCAGATACATTGATTAAAGCAATCACTCTTGAAATTTTTTAGGATCAATATATGGACGTGATGCGCATACTACATCGTGTATAGCTGTATACGTTGTATATACATATTTATATATGTTTTGTGAAATTGAAAATAGATGAAAAATGTAGTCGATATTACACATAAGATTAGCTAACGTTTAGGAATATTTCTGAAAGTATTTTATTGGCGACACTTGAAAATTCTAAGCGTCGTATAAGAAGTTAATTGAAGAAATTTTATACATTTATTCTACAGTATACATGTACACACAGATAGAGGGGGTTTAGAATTGTTACGAATACTGTGACGAACCACAGGGTCCTTGATGTATCTCTGTGACATGCACGCATATGCACAGAAAAGTAGAGGGAATTTAGAGTCATTAAAAACAACGAATTATAAGCCTAATTCATGCCTATGATACATACTAGAGATTCTATAATAAAGTCTGGCTCAGCAATTTTTTCAAAATAAAAGTGAAAAAGAAGGGTATACATTCCGTCTCTTTTTATACATTATATAGATAATATCTCATTTTAATTTATTGAAATAGACAAAAACGATAGGCCAATCAAGTTTTTCATAGCTCATTATTATCTCGTGACCAGATTCTGTTGATAGGGTCTCTAATAGCGTTTTCAAGTGCAGTGGGTTTAAACCAACTTAGGTCGGTTAACTCGAAAGTATCATTGACTTCGTTCAATCAGAAATCAAAGTAGAGCATGTGACTTCATTAATCTGATCTGAATTGGGTCATTTTGAACCCACTGCTTTTAAAAATGCTATGATACATGACACACAGAATCGTTCATTATATTCATTGATTATAGATAACGCCAAGAGTAAGTGTGACTCTTATATTTTTTTATATTTCAATATAATTTTAATTTAAGATTTTATAATGATCCTTTGTGAATATCTTCTAAATTTCAATAATTGTATAAAAATGAATCTTGAATCAAAATTGTTGGGTTTAATGTGGAGGATCTGACTCGGTTAAAAAATACACAGGTTTTTATTTAGAAAGATTAAACGATTTTCAAAAAATCATTTTATTAAGAATCTAGTTATATAAACAAATTTTTTCTTAAAAACTTTTTAATCTTAAATTTAAAACAAATTTTTAAATAAAATTTCAGCTGGCTTTGTTTGGTCAATTATCAAATTTCGTACGTAAAATAAGAATCATATATGTGCATATATGATTTAAATTTAGTGCATGGTTTGTTGCATATTATCGTAAGTTTGAAAGTAGCTAAATTATATTGATTTTAATGAAGTGAAAAAGAGAGAGAAGCAAATTAAAAAGTAAAAAAGCATAAAGCGGTAG